ACCTTCTTGCTACGAGGCAACAGTGCTAACCACTGATACACCTTGCAGCCCCATTATTATTAGTAGTAGTAGTAGTAGTAGTAACATTTAGTTGGCTTTTGAATGTACAAAGATAGTTGGTATGGGGAAGACAACTAAACACAACAATGTAATATAGGCTAATCAGAAACCTTTTAAATGTAAAACCTAATCTGAAAACTAAAAGGTGACTATAAAAAATGCAGTGTGGACAAAACAAGACTTCCATTTAACAATATATTCTTTCTCTGCTTTGAGCCAAACGTATTAATCATCTGACTTAGTAGTTTGTATAATGCTACCATCACCTAAAAGGATGATTCTGAAGAAAATACGACCTGAGTTGTTATAAATCAAAAAGTATCAGCTCAGTAAGCATTAGTCAGTCTGGAGTGGGTGAGACCCAACAGAACCGGGCTGAATGTTGTGAAGCTCAGGTAGGAGTGTGTGATGATTGTGTGATGATCCGCAGCTTCAGCCTCATGCTCGCTCTTCAACTTTTAATAGCCACATTGATTCAGACAGCTTGTAAAAGCAAACGTGTCGTATATTTTTAGCATCTAATTAATGCCAGCGCAGCTCCTTTGACATTTGCGCTGGTTCTCTGCTACAAGTTCTCACCCTTAGTGTCTCTCTTTGTGCAAAGTTTCTCACACATCACAAGTTGCCTCGCTCACAGGACTCTGAGGCCCGGTGCAGAAACTCTTCATACACCAGACTGGACCTGTTGGTCATTCATTCAATCTTATTTGTGTAGAGCAGTTCACAGCATGTCTCATCTCACAGCACTTAACATGGTAAAGTATAGGCCTTATGAATGTCCTGATGTTAATATCCTAAAGACAACGACAAAACATCTGTGTGAACGAAGCCACATACTGAGACTAATACTAATACTAATACTAATACTGAGACTAATACTGAGACTAATACTGAGACTAATACTGAGACTAATGCTGACTCACATGTGGACGTAACCAAACTAAGAACCACTGCTGTGTTCCAGGAGTATTCTGCAGGCATTTAATGGATCACAGATTGCCACTTCAGACCAAACAGGATGGCGCTGTTGATATTCTGTATCATTATATTTTACTGTGTATTGTTTATTATTGTTGTTGTTTAGGGATGTTCTGACTGGGATCAGGCCAATGTAGACAACTTTTAACTGACTGTTATCAACACAAACAACCAATCAATAACTGATTTACTGACAATGCAAACTGACCATACTGTCATTTTTCCTGCAGTGATTTTGCTGTTTCAAGCCTCAGACAAATAATATGGGCCACAAAGGCAGCTGTCACATAATCCACTTGGATTTTGGAAAGCTGCCATTGTTAATAATGACAGGATTTGACTCTAGCTGTGAGTCGTTAAGCATCACAGAAGACTTTTGCATGGTGCTCCTTTACTGGTTAAACCCCCACAATGCTCTCTGCTAACACAAAACTGCCCCTAAAACATGAAGACGCTGTACCTGGTGACACGACCAGTCACTTAGAGATAATCTACAATCTACTGTACGTGTGTCCTGTCCGATAATTATACAATGATGTGGTTCAGATTGGAGACAAACATCTGACAGGGACACACTCCACACTGAAGCCCTGAACAGGAGTGGATTCTCTGGTGTACTCAGAAAGACAAATGTCCAACTTACTTTTGTTTGACTAACACTTCCTAAACACTACGGTTTCCAGCTGTTCTAGGAAATTATTGGGTGTTTAAAAAAAAACAAAACTATTCACGGACTGGAAGTATTTGGACAGTTAGACATTTTTTGATCTTCAGTATTTTAGCTTGTTCAACTGGAATGGATGGATGCTGCATTAAAGTCCCAGCTTCAAGGAGTAAAGAGGGGAGCATGCAAGTGACAAGCAAGCAGATAATGAGGCGCAAAAAAAGCAGAAATTGATCAGAGAGATATTAAAAGATAGTTGGTCTGTCAGAATCAATAGTTGTATTCATCATGGGGGGATAAAGCCCACGATGACTGCACAGCTCATCAGCGATACTCTCCAGGACGCAGCATTCCTTCCATGTTCGTCCATTTGCAGAACTATGGAATCAGATCAGTTAACACCAAACCCAGTTTAACAGTTTAACACACCACTTTATTTAAGCTACAATGCTAAAAACAACTGTAGCACCATCTCTTCCCAAAGACGACTGCTTCAAAAGTTCTTACACCTCAAAACAGCGATTCCTTTTGCGTGCTGAGGCAGGAGCAGGCAAACCACACGGCTAAAGAGGTCCGAGTGGTTTGTTGGAGCATCGTTTTATTTGTTCCCGTCTCACCTTCCGAACATCTGCCTCTGACAGTTCGGCTTCGTCAGCTCTGTGAATGACGGCCTGAATGCGGCTCCTCAGGCTGGTGTGACGTTGCTCTAATCTCAACTTCATCCTCTGGAAAACCACGTCCAGGATGTTACAGCTGTCCAGGCCGGTCCGCTGGCTGGAAGAGCTCCACTGTCGTCTGATGGACCGCAGTGTGGACGGAGACAATGTGGATGGTCTGAGGGGGCAGAATAATAAGTGCTAAGAGTCTGGCCAAGAAGGGGCTTTAAATAAGAATGAATACAGCTGCACTAGTGTGTCGTCATTCAACCACTAGCTGGTGCTTTTATGATCAGACTTCAAACTTGACTCTTTGATAAAACTTGTGTGACCTTGAAACATCCTTTAGTTATATCTGTGGCTGCTGAGGAAGCTCCCATGATGCACTCTTTCGTTCTCTATACATTTACATGGAACTTGTTCATATCATTAACTTTAAACCAAACACAAAATCTGTACCAATGGAATTTTAAATCAGCCCTACATAGGACGGACACAGCAGCTTCATATTGATAAGCATTAGGTTGTAATCTATATCTGACTGTGAGTGTGTGTGCGTGTGTGTGTGCCGACCCTTCCAGCCCTTTCATGACTTCATGCTTTTTCACTAGCTCAGTTATTCCTGGTTCCCCATTGTTTTTTTTAGTTTCCAGTTGTTTCATTCCTCCCTTCATCTTTCCATTTTGTTAAATAAAACCTGTTAAACCTGTGGCCGGTCTCTGCCTTGTCTCTGCTTGCGTTCGCTCTGATCCCTGACACTCTGAGTTACTGCATTGTGAATTTGCACTCTGGCTTGGTCATCTGTGAGCTGTACCACTCATCTCTACACTTTCTACTCTTTCCTCCGAATACAGGCAGCTACCTGTGAAGGGAAAGTCACAGAAATACAGCAAACTGCACAGATAGTCATAAAAAAAGACAATGAACTACACAGCTCAAGTCAGTGCAGCACACATAACGGCACATAGAACATCGCAGCCAACTATCAGCTACCAGTTGGAGTGAGACTCTGTGAAGGTGGCGGGGGAGGTAACTGTGTGGATGGATAGATATGTGATTATATAACATCTTATGAAACTTATTTTACTTCATTTACTAATGAACTAATACTTGATACTAATTTGGTTGAAGCGATCCTTTCAGTCGGCCTGAGGAATAGATGCTGCAGTGTATTTGAGGGAAACAAGTTCAACCATAAGTTCC